ACTCACATCATGTTTCCAGGGGACAGAGCTGCTGTAGATCTCAGCTTTCTCACTTGCAAATGAGAGGTTATGAGAGATGCTCTCCAAAGTCTGTCCTTTCCACCTCTAAAATCCCATGATTCTAGGGATTGTTGCTTGGCTTCTGTACATAATGCAAATCATGTAGATAATACTGTTGTTCTTTCCACTTACCTACACCATAGCTATCAGAATTGAAATAGTCCTGGAAAGCCCTTCAAACGCCTCAAAATAGAGCCAAGGGATAATTGAAGGTTATTATCATTTCTAAAATGAATGCCGAAATGTTAAAACTTTCCTGGGAAATAGTTGGTAAGCAAGAATTTCTCCCAAGGCGCTTACTGCAGGTGCTAATCAGGTTACAGTATTTTTTTTTTTTTTTTTTTTTACTGTTTGTGCTGAAAGAAGAATTAATTACCTCAACAGCCTCACTTCTTCATATACCTAAATAATGCATCCCCTCACTCTGTGGAGAATAAACCAACTTTGATAGAGAAAGATTTAATGGGTAGCTAAAAATAGCACTGTAATCTCCTTGAAAGAACTCCCAGCACTCCCCCTCTCTCTCCTTTTAGAAAGACTTTCCTTTTCTGAAACAGCTAATGAATGGTTCTTGTTTCCTTGCAATTCTCTCCCTCATCCTATCCTCTCACACATTTTGAAAGACTATTAAAGTTCATTTTCTTCCAATATTCATGATAAGCAATCTTCTCGAAATCCACTGCATCATTCACAGAACAATCCCGGTAACTTGCTCAGGAAACCCTGGTTTCCTAGAATCCTTATTTAAACATCAAGCTCAGTACAAGATGTAAAGTTCTCCCCGCAGCACTGCACAGTACCGCAGTGGTCCAGCTGTGTCTCATCCCAATTGCTCCCCTTGCAATATGTGTTTCTCTATCACTCCACAAAAAGGGCCTTCTTGAAAGTTATTGCTAATTTCTTCCTATCAAATTCAGTAGTCTAGTCACCTCCTGTCCTTTATGAAGCATTTTTACACTGTTTGCCAGGCCGTGTCAACATGTTCTCTTGCCTTATTTCCTATTATCATGCTTTCTTCAGATTCCCTTGAAGTTTTCTTGTTTCTTCACTGGGCTCCCTGTCCTCCTATTCTCATTATCTCATCATATGAATTCTCTGATGCCTAAAGATATTTGTAAACCTGACTTTCATTACTCTCTACTTATTGGGAAGAAGAGCTAAGTTATTTACCGTGCCTTGCATGAACGTGAATACACTATGTAGCATCTACCAATTTTAGTGTTTCCACAAGAAAGAGGAGGAAAATACCTACTTCATAAGTTGCTGTGATGATTAAATGAGATAATACATTTTAAGTGCTGGACATATGGTAGGACTAAAACATATTAGTAGCTTCTTGGATCCCTTTTCTTTTTAGCTATTCCTTTCTATGAATTACTACTGCCATAGTGTGTCAAATCTCTCAGTCCAATGTACTTAAAATACCACAAACACAGCCCCACCCTTTACTTCACTGCATCCTGCTTTCTCCATATGGACCTGCTTCCCTAATTAATACTGACAGTGTCCTATGACTCCTTCACTCTAGGGTCACTCCCCGACTTGTTTTTTTTTGTTTTTACCATATTAATTTGAAACTCATTTGACTGTCTTTATGGTCCCGGAAAGTTCCCTTTTCCCTTCCCCTGACCCAAAATATCTTTCTCCACTTCCCCTTTCTCTTTAACCTGAGCTTTCTGTCCTAGTCCTTCAGGCTGCCCTCATCTCTTCCCCAAGGCCGCATTGGTTTCTTCCCCTGAAACTTTAACATCTTTCGATCTTTAATTCCATGGCCCCTAGTGGCAGATCAGACCTCCAGCCCTTACAGGACTTTGTCTCAACTCTCTAGCCTCCCAGCCCTTCTTGCTTGCCATCATGATCAGTACCTGGTAACATCCTGAATTGTGTCTATTTGCTAATGTGCTAGACGAGTGCTTCTAATTTGGGGGGTTTCACATACCAATAACTTTTGAAAACCATATCTATCTACTGGCATTCATTTAATACTTTTTGCCCTAGTAAAGACCCTTAAAAATCATTTGTGATCCTCATTTCCTTTCTAAAAGGATATTTTACAAAAAAATAGAAAGGTACAATCTTAAAAAAAAGTTTAAATCGAATAAATTTAGACCTATGAAAAAATGTATTGCCTTATTTTTTTCATTTTGATATGGACCAGAGGAAACTATCAGGGAAATTCTTGAACAGGCATTTGGGAACCTCTATAATTGTCTCTATACAGCTACTGTTTCTGTGATATGAGTAATTAAGATTTGGAGAGTTCCTATTCTGAACGAGGTAGTGTAACTGTGTATGTCTCTGTGTGTATGACATAGGTAATGGTATGTCATTCTACTGATAGCAGAACCAAGGAATAAGAAGTTTGGACTTGCTCAAGGATTCACACCTAGTAAGTGGTAGAATTTAGAGTCAAATTCAGTTATTTAGGCTCCAGTGTTCTGGGCCACTGAGCCATACTGCTGCCACGTCTTTAGACTTTACAGTATTGAGTATGGCTCTGTGTACAAGGTAAATGCACCAATATGTGCCATGATGATGACAGCTTCTGCCGTAATATATAGCGTCTGCAGAACATAATAATGGCTGTGTGTGTGTGTGTGTGTGTGTGTGTGTGTATAAAATCCAAATAGACCATTTCTACAGGTACTTATAAATGGTACTACAAAGAAGATTACTAGTTGTACAAAATGTAACAACAATTGCAACTAAACAGGAGGTGGGCCTTTGAGGGGCAGCTGGACTTGGTGACTCGCTTCCAAAGAAGAGAGTACAGAAAGGGAGAAATAATAATTTTACAGTGGGGAAAACCTGGGTAACACCACTTGACCAAGTGACCAAGGTTAACATTACCAGTGACAGGTCATGTTCCATCAGGCACCCTTCCCCTCACCCCATACAACTGATAAGAAGGGAACCTCATTTCTGTGATATTTTTTTCCAAAAATCCATAACCCAAGTCTAATCATGAGAAATTATATCAGGCATACCCAATCTGAAGGACATTCTACAAAATACCTGACCATTATTCCTCAAAATTGGCAAGGTTATGAAAAATAAGGAAAGACAGAGACTGTCACAAATCATACATAACAGCTAAATGGTGCCCTGGACTGGATCCTGGAACAGAAAATATACTGATGGAGTTTAGTTAATATTAACAGACCAATGTTGACTTCTTACGTGTAATGTGTACCATGGTACTTTGAGATAAGATGAGAGGAAACAACCAGGAAACTGGTTGAGGAGTATACGGGAAGCCCCTGTGCTATCTGTGTAACTTTTCTATAAAGCTAAAATTATTCCATGTAAAAAGTTTAATGAAAACACTGAGAAGAGGTTCCATTGGCAAATTCCTTTGAAAACTTTGGGTTAAACAATGCCCAACTGCTTTACACCTGGAACTAACACAACACTGTAAGTCAACTATACTCCAATAAAAATTAAAAACAAAACAAAACAATGCCCAACTGAGTTGGGTTAAACACTGCCCAACTGAGTTCCTGTAATCATCAGAGCTTCTAAGATACCTAATGCATATTGTGACTCTCAGAAGATGCAGGGCGCTGTAAGATACCTAATGCATATTGTGACTCTCAGAAGATGCAGGGCGCTGTAAGATACCTAATGCATATTGTGACTCTCAGAAGATGCAGGGCGCTGTATTTCCAAGACATACTTGGCCAGCAACCTTTTTGTTCCTTCCAAAAGCATCTTTGCAGGATAAAAACTGACATAGAGAAGGCTTTTCCCAATGTGTCACAGACTTTTACACCTGATATCCAACCGTGTTCAAATTTTAATCGGCAACTTTGGCTGAAGAGAGAAGATACCATGAACATTTAATTGGCAGAAGACTTGAAACTAGAGGGTAATATAATGGATGACAGAATCAGCGTTAAAATTATATTTAATATGCTGCATCAATTGACCAAACTTAACAGGATGAATATATAAGGATAAATATTTAGTGTACTTTTATTTAAACAAAGAAAAAAACAAAAAATCAACCTCTGGAGCCATACAAATAGAAGCTGGATGTCCACCTGCCCAGATTGCTGCCAGGGTGTCTTCTACACTGCACCTAACAAATTACTTTTACATAGCCTTCCAGTGCTAGGATGTCTGAATCTATGAAACCACAGGGAAGGGAGAAAATTTAGGAGGCACTGAGAAAAGTGGCAAATTGTTGAAAACACCTCCAGAGTTAACGTCGACCCCACTCTACCTCTCTTCTAACCAGCATCCCTGAAATAATAACCAGAAACCGCCTGAACAAATGTTGGAGTTTAGCTGAAGAATCAGAGGCAAAAATGCCATCCCTAAGCATGCACCTAAGCGATTTCTGATGGTATAATTTAAGAGGACAGGGAATTGATGATTTTATCTAGACCCAGTATAGTTGTTACTCAAAAAGAAATTCACCGAAATAAATAAACATACAAATATATAAACAAGTAAGTTGATTTTTAAAAATACACTATTTTTTTCCTCCTATGGAAATAACTGGCATATTAAAAAAAAAAAGACTATGTGGTTCAGTTCAAGGTGTGCTTCAGGTTGGCTCCCCCACTGAGCCAAAACCAGCATGAGGCCAGCCACTGAGGCACCAGGACACAAAAGTTGGGCAAACACTCTCCGGATCCGGTAAGTGCCCGTAGGGTCAGCCCCTGAGAGTATGTGTCACTTTAACTTTTGTGTCAGAGGTGCCTGCTCACCTCACAGTAGTCCCAGCCCTGTGACTGGTCAGCCCAGCCAAAGCCCCTCCCTGACACTACATCATAGACTAATTCCTTAGGTGACTGCTGCATAGCTAGCTACCTACCGGTGGCGGCCTGCCTGGTAGTCACCAGCCTGACCTGATGAGAAAGAGGTTCGAGGCCACATCTTTTCCCAACCCTAGGTAGGCGAGAGACCAGCACCAACTTTACCATTATCCTGAAATGGTGTGGGCCCCAGAGCGCAAGAGGGCGGAGCCGAATTGGAGAGCTCTCAGGGCCAGCCAGGATGGGATGGGTGGCAGAGGCAGGGGCTGCAGCAGCACCTCCAGCCACCTGGAGCCTAGGGCTTTCGGCTCCCAAGAACAACCGCTCTGCTTTCAAACAAGGAACAGTATGGTTGGTGCGGTGATTGGTCATGGTGGATCAAAAATAAAAGACATTCAGGATATGACACGCACCAAAATACAGATCATAAAAGGTGATTCTGAAGCAGAGGTAAACATTTTTGGCAGCAAAGACATGAAAGCCAAGGCCAAAGCGGCTACAGAAACTCTTGTTAAGAAACAAGAAAGACACTACAGTTCAGAATCCAGTGTTGATAACGCCACATCCCAACCCTCTGTTGGAAGACGCTCAAGCAGAGATAACACTGCTAGAGGAGCTCAGCCACTGATAGACTAGGATCAAGTAAAGGCCGACGTTGTACAGTGGGAGAAAAGAAAATGGGCAGATTTATCACCAATTAAGAAAAACTTTTACACAGAATCCAAAGCAACAAGGTCATTGTCTCAAGTGCAAGTAGACACTTGGAGAAAGGAAAATTTCAACATAATGTGTGATGACTTGAAAGATGGTGAAAATCGTCCCATCCTCAATCCGATCTGCAAATTTGAAGATGCTTTCCAACATTATCCTGAACTTATGAAAAGCACTGAAAAAGCTGGTTTTTGAAACCCAATGCCAATTCAGTCACAGGCATGGCCTGTTATTCTACAAGGAATAGATCTTATAGGAATTGCCCAAACTGGAACGGGCAAAACACTGTCCTATTTAACGCATGGGTTTATTCATCTCCATTCTCCACCAATACCTAGAGAACAAAGGAATGGACCCAGCATGCTAGTCCTTACACCCACTAGAGAATTAGCTCTTCAGGTGGAAGCTGAATGTTCTAAGTATTCATACAAAGGTCTTAAAAGTGTTTGTACATATGGCGGTGGAAACAGAAAAGGGCAAATACAAGATGTTACTAAAGGCGTAGACATCATCATTGCAACTCCTGGAAGCCTGAATGATCTGCAAATGAATAACTTTGTCAACCTAAGAAGCATAACCTACTTAGTCTTAGATGAGGCAGAAAAAATGCTGGATCTGGAGTTTGAACACCAAATAATGAAGATTTTTTTAGCTGTGCGCCCAGACCGGCAGACTGTTATGACAAGTGCAACTTGGCCAGATACCATTTGTCGACTTGCACAATCTTATTTGAAAGAGCCTATGATTGTTTATACTGGTACTCTGGATCTAGTTAATGTAAACACAGTGAAGCAAAATATAATTGTTACCAGAGAAGAAGAAAAACGATCTCTTATCTGAGAATTCCTACAGAGCTTGTCACCCAAAGACAAAGTCATCGTATCTGTCAGCAGAAAACTTGTTGCTGATGACTTATCAAGCGATTTAAGTAACCAAGGCATAACTGTACAATCCCTGCACAGTGACAGAGAACAGAGTGACCGTGAGCCAGCATTAGAGGACCTGAAGAGTGGAAAAGTGAAAATACTGATTGCTACTGATTTAGCATCCTAAGGCCTTGATATTAGTGATGTCACACACATATATAATTACAATTCTCCATGGAATACTGAAGAATATGTACACAGAGTAGGGCGTACTGGAAGAGCAGGAGAGATGGGCATATCAGTTACAGTTACCCTTATGACTCAAGGTGATTGGAAGATTGCCGGTAAATTGATTAAAGTTCTGCAAAGAGCAAATCAGAGAGTCCCAGAAGATCTTGTATCGAGGCTGAGCGATACAAATTACCTAGACAACAAAGGGACCCAAAAAATAAATCAAGAAAATCTTAAGAAAAATCCAGAAAGTTTTACTGATGTCTACATTGAAAAGTTGTACCAGGCTGCTAGAAGATTCAAGATATGTTCAAGTTATGCAGAATTCATGTTACATAAGGAAGTACTGGAAACCTACTGGCAGTTAGAAAACATTTAGCCAAATTCTTAAATAATACCACCAAGCTTTCAATGCATGTTCCTTAATAAAATCAAAAGTGTTTTGAAAATGAGAGAGTGTTTTGTGCTTGTTAAAGTCTACTTTCTTTTAGAGCCTGCCATGTCCAGCTGTGTCTTCTCTAAAAGACTTGGTAGGAGACAACAATGGTACTTTTCTTGCTTTAAAATAGTTGCACTGGATTGAAACATAGTTTTCATCAAGCTTATCCCAGTCAAAATATTTTATTTCCCCCAGTGGTTGGTGACACGATTCCTAAAAATATTTCCACTATCGTTCCCTAATTTTTAATATTCACTAGAAAATAAATTCTCAATCTTTTAGAAGATTCCATAATTCTCTTTTTTCCGATAGATGTGACTAATAGAGCAGACTGTCTGACTCACTGGGAATCAGATCCTCAAATGAATTCTCACTAACCACTGGTTAAAAATTCTGGGGAGGTCACTTGCCTTCTGCAGGCCACACTTTTTTACACTAATAAATTGGGGTGGTTATATGAAATAATTTGGGGGTCTCCTTCACCACTAACTTCTAAGATATTATAACCAAACTGTGTATCCCAGCCTTATATTTACACTTTATTTCCTAATCTAGGGGAAAATCACGTCTTGGTGTAACAAACTGAACAATGAAACCCCTTTTAATGACCAGAATAGTGCATTCTGCACTTCTATTGATTTTTGAAATGTGACTCACAGGTTGTCTTTACTTTCTTTTCATCTTATTTTTCAATTTGTCTCGAAAAGGTCAAAACCACATATACACATCAGAAGAAAAATTAATGTGAAAGAAAAATCTCTCTTCTGTACTGGGAAAAACATTAAAAACCAAACGACATTTTTGGCATAGGAACCAAGTTTAGTACAATTCCTAAATCTCTAATTGTCTCTCTTACCTTTCATTTAGAAGCAATATGCATCTTCTCACATTGCAAGAAAATATCCTCACAATGACGCTGAATTTTATAACTCAGTGTTTATGAGAACATTATAATCAAGCCTTAAAACTTCTGGCAAAAAAAAAAAATCATCCAGCAATCTTTATTCCCAGCATGCCTTAGCTGTAACGGCAACAAAAATTCTGAAATTAAGTGAAATAAAGAGGTAAACATTCTAGGTATAGGTGGTTAAGGTTTAGAGTCTGACTTTAAAGGCTTGTTATAAAGACCTCGATATCTCTTGATAAAATTAAGAACAATGGTTAACATTTTTGAGTGTGGGATATATACCAGGTGCTTTGTTTTGTAATTGATAATGTTTATTTAAAACCCACTTAGATGGTGATCTTACCCCTATTTTGCAGAAGGTGAAAACAATGTCAGAGGAACTAACTTGCCTAAGGTTAGTAAATCTGGTTAAAGAGGAATTATGTGCTATTTTAACCCTGATGTGCCGGATTCCAATATTTCCATTCTTTTTACATCAATACAAGTTACTATGTGCAAGGCAATAGGCTTGTCTTGAGATTGCCCGCATGTTCAGATTTAGTGAAATAGAGAAGTATGTGCCAATTTACCCTAATGCAAAAGCAGTCTATAGCAGAACCTGTGAGAGAAGCTCAAATGGCCTGTTCCTGTTCACTCGGAGGAGAAATGATGAATGTTTAGCAAGTTGGAGTATATGTTATTTGCCAGAATTCCTCTTAGGGGCAATGCTGTAATTGTTAGAGAAAAGGGTAACAATTAAACCATTTGAGATAGAAAGTGAGGTTCCTCAATCACGTTCAAGTAACAACAAAAGTTATCACTCAATGAGGAAGAAGAGGAAAAAAACAAGAAAAGGCTGAAAAGAAGAGCTACTGTACAGGGAAAGCTAAGTAGAAATATTAATAGAACAGTGGTTCTCAACCAGGGGCATTTTTGCTCCTTCCCTCCAGGACACATTTAACCACATGTGAAGACAGTATGGGTTGTTTTAACTACTGGGGGTGTGGGGTGGTGTTGGCAATGTGCTGCTGGCGCCTAGTGGGTAGAAGCCAGGGATGCTGCTAAACACCCTACAATCTACAGGACAGCGCCCACACAACAGAGGATTATTTGGTCCACAACATCAATAATGCTGAGATGGAGAATCCCTCAGAGAGCATAAGCAAAACAAAACAAATCTCATAGTACCCAAGAAAGAACTTCGGAGGAAAAAATAGAGGATTTGAAAATTATAACGTGTGGGTTGTACAGAATATAACCCTACAACTTTCCTATCCTTGGTATAGTCTGCATCAGTCTTTCAGCACCAAGGCCAATTTTGCCAGTATCTGGAGACAGATTTGGCTGGCAGAGCTCAGGGGGAGGGGTATTGGCATCTCCTGGGTAGAGACCAGTGGTGTTGCTAAACATCCCATAATGCACGGGACGACCCCCCAAAGAATTATGTGGTCAAAATGCCAGCAGTGCCGTAGTTAAACTTTGCAATACATTAAGCAAAACACCCTCCCTCCAAAGTCAACTGCGGAGAAACCAAGAAGGGAGTTCAGCCAGGAAAACGAAAAGAATACGTATTTCTTGTACACTCTTCAATATAAAATTCTCCATCAACTTTCATTATCTTTGGTATAATCTGTATCAATGACTGTCAATCAGAGTCGATTTTGCCCCCTAGGGGATATTTGGCAATGTCTGGAAACATTTTTGGTTGTCCCATGTAGGCAGCAAGACTGCTACTATCATGTAGTGGGTAGAGGTCAGGAACTAATACCCTATAATACACAGAAAAACACCCTACAACGATGGATTTTTTTTTAGCCCAAAAGGTCTATAGTATTGAGGTCAAGAAACTGTGGTTTACATCGACCAACAACGTTTTTGTGAGTGAACTGTTTTTTAGAAACTCAAATAAATATTGAGTTGTGTGTCTAAATTGGAACGGAGTAAATGCAGGGCACTGACACCAGAGACAAAGTATGAGGATTCAGCTGACCTCAGAGTTATTCCTATAAAATGCTTAGCATGATAATTAACATTCAGTAGGTACTCAACACATATTAGATCCCGTCCAGCTTGCCTCTCCCATCACCCATTATATAATGCTTGTTTACAATTCTGGATGCCATTACTCACATTGCTTCCCCCTGTCTAGAATGTCCTTTCTTCTTCCACTCTGCCAGGTCAAATCAGATTCATCATTCTGGGTCCAGCCCAAGTGCTACATCCTCCCCAAGATTCCTATCTGCTCTCCTCCATTTCAAAACTTCTGTAGCTCTCTCTACCTACCAATAATGTTGACATGTGCACCATACTAGTTTGCATACCTACAGAGACAATTTGAAAAATTCAAAGTAATTAAGAGGAACTGCACTATCAAATATTTAAATACATTATAAATATATAACAGTTGAAACAGCTTTATCCTATATAACTAACAAATCATGAGAGAACCATCCAGAGCTAAATCTGCATAAGAAACTAGTATAAAGGTGTAATTTTTTTAATCAGTGAAGAAAGAAAAGTCTGTCCCAAAACAAATTTTTAAAAATTAAATAATACATATATACATACGATACGTATCAGGACAAACGATCAACCATAGAACTGCTACTATTAAAAAACACCCCACTAGATTCTGGCTTTTTATAAAAATTAAAAACTTGAAGATCATGTAGGAATATAATTTCTGATATCAATGTGGAAAAAAATTTTAAACATAGAAGCAACCACAGAAAATGCAAGGTAAATATTAATAGATTTAACAATGTAAACATGAAATGCCAAAAATACTATAAAAGGCAAAGGAAACACAAGAAAAATAATTTAAAATATAGCACACACTCATAGTTACTTATATTTAATGTACAGAGATTTTTACAAACAAAAAATGAAGGACGAATTCCAAAATAGATATATGGGCAGAAATGTAAAGGACAATTCACCAAACAGACAAATAAGTGAACAATAAACATGTAAAAAAGTGCTTAACTTCTTTATAAACAACAGAATAAAAATTAAACCAATGATACAACTTTTTTCTCTAGAAAAATTGGCTGCAATTAGAAAAAACTGGGAATACCTAATACTAGTAGCAAAGCAGGGAAATAAACATTAATAAATTATAATTTTGTAAAAGTATGTTCCTTGGAGGGACAGTTGAGATTATGCATAAAATTTGCGTATGTTTAATAGACTTGGACCCTATAAATCCCTAAGGATTATATATACATACCAAGATGTATATACAAGGCTATTTACCATAGGGTTGCTTAAAATAATTAATTTTTGAAAAAACCCTCAAAGTGCAATGATAGGGTACTAGTTAATTGTAGCATATCTATTCCTGATTTGGAATAGTAGAAATCATGTTCTTAAAGAATATTTAAAGGAAAGTAGTTTACAAAATCATCTCATTTTTAGAAAATTACATCGGTCCATATATCAATATAGGAAAAAAAACAGATAAGCTGGATGCACATAGACACACACCACTGATCGTCATAGTTTTCTACATTATGGAATTATACGTGGGTTTAATTCTTATTTTATTTTCTAAAATTTCTACAAAATAACATTACCTTTATTATAATAAAAATGATGCTGATATATCCAGAGAAAATGCTAATTTGAAAATATACATGCACCCCATTGTTCATAGCAGCACTATTTACAATAGTCAAGACATGGAAGCAACCTAATGTCCATCGGCAGAGGAATGGATAAAGAAGATGTGGCATATATATATAGAACGGAATACTATTCAACCATAAAAAAGAATGAAATAATGTGATTTGCAGCAACACAGATGTACCTAGAGACTGTCAGACTAAGTGAAGTTAAGTAAAGTAAGACAGAGAAAGACAGATATCATATGATACCACATATGTGGAATCTAAAATCTGACAGAAATGAACTTTGACAGAAATGAACTTATCTACA